ATAGAATAGAATAGAATAGAATAGAATAGAATAGAATAGAATAGAATTCTTTATTGGCCAAATGTGATTGGACACACAAGGAATTTGTCTTTGGTGCAAAAGCTCTCAGTGTACATAAAAGACAAGATACATTCATCAAGAGCCAAGAATCATAAAATACAATACTTAATAATAGTCATAAGGTACAACAAGCAATCAAATCATACTAGGAAACAGTCAATAAAAATCGTTAGGATACAAGCAACAAAGGTATAGTCATACAATCATAAGTGGGAGGAGATGAGTGAAAGGAAGGATGGGAGGATTAATAGTGATAGTAATGCAGACTTAGTAAATAGTTGAACAGTGTTAAGGAATTATTTGTTTAGCAGAGTGATGGCTTTCGGGGAAAAAACTGTTCTTGTGTCTAGTTGTTCTGGTGTGCAGTGCTCTATAGTGTCGTTTTGAGGGAAGGAGTTGAAACAGTTTATGTCCAGGATGTGAGGGGTCTGTAAGTATTTTCACAGCCCTCTTTTTGACTCGTGCAGTATATGGGTCCTCAATGGAAGGCAGGTTGGTAGCAATTGTTTTTCTTTTAGCCCTAATTATCCTCTGTGTCTGTCCTGTTGGGTTGCAGAACCAAACCAGACAGTTTTAGAGGTGCAGATAAATATTCTGGGCCCAGACCCACGCACGTAGGATGACTTGGGAAAGTGGGAGAAAGGGCAAGGCCACCACAGCAAAAACAGCCGAGGGGAGGGAGAGAAAAGAAACTCCTGAGGCACCGGCGGGTGGGCTGGTACGTGCAGAGGAAGTGGGGAGTGCGGCCGAGTGACCGAGCTGTGACCTGCTTGCCCCGTTGTAAGAGTCCTCCAGAATTTGGGTCACCAAGCGAAATGTTCCGGGTTTGGTCAGACCTAAATTTAGCACGGTCTAATTCTGGGGACCTACTTTAAAAAAGGATTGAGCCAACCTGGAGCAATTTCCTGCAAAGGAACAAAGCTGAATCAGAAGTCCTGAGAGAAATCGGTGAGGAAACTGGGCGGCTGATACCAGATCTGCTCCCTACTTCGAATGTCTGGAGGCCCAGAGCCATCGGTTCTCGTTCCGGAGTGCTGGGCCCAGGGATGGTTAGGGAGAGCTTCCGGTGGCAAGACTGGCACCATCGGGGGAGCCTCATTGGATTCATGTAGGGTAGACCCATCAGCTTGAGGGCCCCAAAGATCAGGACTTGAAGAACACTTTGACACCAAAGCAGTTGCCAGTCCTGTCAAGGACTCTGGGCCACCGAGGAGGAATCGGTTCTTTTGGCGGAAGTGCCAGGCGAAGGGCTGCCGCTGAGACTTTTCACGCCTCCCCTCACAGACTAACCCTGGGAAAATGACCCCGTCCGCTACGGAGAGCATTGGACAACGGGACCTGGAAATGGCCACAAACTCCATTTACTGCTCCAGAGAAGAAGGTAGGACTTGGTGGCTGAGTGTGGCCGGCATGTAACTTGGGATGGCTCAGCTGGTCCCTCTCGGAAACTTTTATTCAGCAGCAGCAACACACGTGGGCTGAGAGGTGGGATTGCTCCTGGTTTTCAAATTGGACCCTGCCTAGGAAGCTACTGAGGCGGGCGGGAAGTACAGGGGGCTCTTGGGGGGGCATGGTATGTGTTCTCCCACCCCCACCCCCTTTTTGTAAGGGACGGGGTGGCGGTGCCCGGTTGCCTCCCCGCGAGGACAGCTGTCTACTCTGACTTCTCCCCTGCAGTGAATGAGTTCTGGGTCACGGTGCAGAAGACCGAAGCTGCCGAGCGCTGCAAGCTGCAAGGGAGGTACGTGCTGAAGGCCTCTTGGAATGAGCTCATCCTCAAGGAGGCCCCCTCCAGCGTGGCCCTCTACACGTGGCCCTATCGCCTCCTCCGCAGATACGGCAGGGACAAGGTGAGCTTGTCGGGAAGTCAAGGAGCTGGGCTTCTGGGGTTTTGCCCTCTCCCCTCTCTCCCCCCTCCCCCCCGGGGAGGCCTGGGAAGCAGGGTAAAATTGGACTCGCTGAGCCAGAGGGGGACAACCTCATCCCCGGTGCTTGCTTCGCGAGGGAAGGCTCCCCCGGGGGCTGCCCCACTTGCCCCGGGAAGGCCCTGGCTGACCACAGGGCCCCACCCTTCCCTCCCGCAGGTGATGTTCTCCTTCGAAGCCGGCCGGCGCTGTGAATCCGGTCCCGGCAACTTCACCTTTGAGACCAAGCAGGGCAACGAGATCTTCAACGTGGTGGAGGCTGCAATCCAGGCCCAGAAGGCCCAAGTGGAAGAGCATCGGCAAAGCAGCAGCTCCCTTGAGATGGAGGCTCCTTCCAGCGCCTTCTCCCTCCATAACGCCGTGGCCAACTCCCTCAGCCTGGAGGGCGAGGGCCCTGCTGTTGCTGCTGCTGCTGCTGCTTCGGAGAGGCGGGCGCCCAGGAGCGCCCTGGCAGCCTGGCCCAGCGTTGCCGGGGAGGGGAAGGAAGCCGCTGCGCCCAAAGGGCAGAACCCGTGGCCGAAAGGGCAGAACTCCTCGGTGTGGCCCTCTTTCTCTGGGGCGCCTGGATCTTTGGAGGACACCAACAACGTCTACTCTGAGCCTCTGGACGCGGTGAAGGGCTCGCAGCTCTGGCCAGACTTCGTCTACGCTGACCCCGTGGACAGCCAGCGTCTGGAAGAAGGGCCGGGCTGGGGCTCCGGCCTGGCGGAGGAGCAGCTCAGGCCACAGACCGGCAAGGGCCACGGGCTGCCGAGCGGCAAGCAGCACATCTACGATGAGCCTGAGGGGAGGGCCCCGTGGCCCACTCCGCCTTTGGCTGCCATCTACGATGAGGCGCGCCTCCCCTGCGAGGCCTGGCGGACTCAGGGCTTGGAGAGCCAAGCTGGCTACGAGTTGCCGTGCCTTCCTGGAACCGGGGATTATGCCGTCCCTGCCTTCCACCAAAAGGCCGGGCTGAAACCCCCCAGGCCCAGCCCCACCCCCAAGCCTCCCCGGACGCACAAGAAATCCACTCAGCCGGAGGCCAGCAAGCCCAAAGCGGCCCCCGCCGCAGAGGGGCTGCGGAACAGCAACAACAGCAACAACGGCGGCGACCCAATCTACAGCCGTGTGCTCAAGCCACCCTCGGCCCCCGGCCCTTTGGGACCCGAGCAGTCGGTGGACGAGAGCCGGCTGGCCGCGGTGTACGAAGACCTTGGGGAGATCTGAGAAGGGACCCTGAGCTGGGCTGGAGCCGGAGCAGCCTTTCCAGCCTGCTAGGAAGGGCGGCCAGCCACGCTTAACACATTCTCGGAAGCCCCCAAGCAACAGCCACCTTGTTGGGCAGTGAAGGCTGCCTCTTCCAAGTGGGCCCCGGCCTAGCCTGAGGGCCACACGGGCCAAGCCAGGAAGCCACTGTGTGGGAAGGGCCTCCAAAGGAAGGAAGGACGGACCCCTGGGGAACACACAGCCGCCTCCTGGCCCTCGGGGCCCATTGCTTCTTTGGGACTGTAGCCTTTGGCAGCGAGCCCAGAAAGCCTCCCATTTAGGAAGAGGACGCTTCTCTTGGTTGCTGAAGAATATTGGGGCCCATTCCTCCCCCCACCCCCCGCCATGTCAGAGGCAGCCTGCGTGGTGGGCTGAGGCTGCTCTGGGACCGTGCCTGAGGCTGCCTTGCCTCTGCAGGAGGCTGAGAAGGGCTCCTGGGGCAGCGGAAGCCATGCCGGGGCGTTCGTGGGAAGGAGACTCTCGCTTGCTCAGGCTGTCACAAGGGCGGTTTATTGACGCAGAGGATGTGGCTGAGCCAGACCGGAAGAGGGATGAACAGCAGGAACCAGGAAGTGCCACAAGCAGCCCCTCCCCCCTCTGCACACTCCCCCACGGAGCCCAGAGGAGTGGGGGAGGAACAGGCAGGTTGCCCCCCTCCTCCCCCCTCCTGCCCGAGGCTTGCAGGGAACATCCCTGCCTCCCCCCCCTCCGTGGAGTCTTCTGGGCTGCTGCCAAAGAAGCTGCCTTGGGCCCAGGGGCTCTGTGGCCGTGAAGAAGGCAGGGCGCTCCGAAGGCTGCTACATCTCGGACTCTGGGGTGGCCTTTCCTCGGCTTGGAGAAAGGGGGAGGCTGCCGGAGCCAGCAGGTGGGAGGGTCACCTGCAGCGGGGCCACTGTGGCCCTGGCCCTGCCGGGATGCATGCGACCCCCCTGCTGTGGGGGAAAGGACCATTGTCACTGCTGGGGCAGGAGGTGGGAGGAGGTCCTGCCCTTCCTGCTATTGGGGCGTCCCGGGTGTTAGGGCAGAGCCCTTTCTGGGGGGTGGGGAGGGGTGGGGCTGGCACCTTTGCCCTCTGAAGCAGCCATGTTGGAGTTCCTTGCTGCTGGGCCCATGTTTGCCCCCCGCCCTTCCCCGTGTCGCGTGCCCCTTGGTACCTGGCGGGGCCACTGCCTTGGTGCCCAGCGCTGAACCCGGGTGGCGGGCAGGCGGCCCAGGTACCTCTTCAGGGCCTGGTACAAATAACTGGTCGCCCGCAGGGGGTCGTAGCTTGCCTCAAACTCCAGGCTGCCAAGGATGCCCTGGAGTGGAAGAGGCGAGGTCTGTGCCCAGGGGAAGGCGGGGGCGGGGTGGGTGGGGGGTGCCCCTTTCCCTTGCAACTGGGGGCCCTTGTCACATACCTCCGTTTTAGCGAGCGCCGCTTCAGGCAGTTCAGCAGGGAGGGGAGGAAAGCTGCAAGGCAGCAGCAGCTCTCGGCCCACCAACGGGCGCAGCAGCAGGGTGCCGGAGTCCGAGGGGAGCAGGACCTGGAAGGAGCCGGCGGAGAGGCCCCCGCTGAGATCTGGCCCACCCCAGGTCTCGTATTTGGCAAGCAGCAGCCATTTGCGCTTCTGGAAGACAACCGGTGTGCGTTGTGCTGGGTGCCAAAGCAGGGGCGATGCTCCTGCCTGGTGGGCGTGAGACGTGCAACCAGCACACAGCCGGCAGTACGGCTGGCCTGCCCGCTGGAAAGCCGGAGGAGGTGCCCACCCCCCTCTGCCCCAGAGGCTGGGTGGCTTTGGGGGTGTCAGCAAGGTGGTTCTTCCACCCCCGCCTGCCGCAGATCCCCTTTCCCCTTAGGACTCACTCGTAGGCAGTGGCAGAAGGCTTGGAAATTCTGCTGGTTGGTCTCCAGTTCATCCCAGCTCAGCTGCCAACAGTTTGTGGGCCTTACGACGAGAGGGAGACCAAAAAGCACCGATGCACAGACTCCATCGGCTTCCAGCGCCCTGCAAGAAGAAAGTTTTGTCACTGGGGAGCAGGCAGCCTCCCCCCCCCCATGTCAAGCTTCTGGCTGGGGGAGGCAAGGAAAGCGCTAAAGGAGATCTTTACAAGGCCAGTCAGTGGGGACAGATGTCCTGCAGATGGGTGGACACAGCCCCCTGCCCCCCAGTGAGACAAAGCAGAGGCAGGCTCGGGAGGGAGGGAGGGAGGGGCAGGAGCTGTGCAGACACCTCCCCCCCCCCGCATCCTCCCCTGAAGGTTGGGGTGGCTGAGAGGAGGACTGGCCCTTGCCTTACAAAGATGGCCAGCTAGGTTGAGGGTTGGGTTGGAGGAAGAGGTTTGTCACCATGTTTTGTTTTTTTAAACTGCCTTCTTTAGCATGAAGGCAGCTTCCAGAAGGGAGCAGCCTGTGGAGAGAATGGGTATTTCTGCTCCTCCTCTAAAACTGTTCCTTGAACGATCCAAAGGAAAAGGAAAGCGCCAGGGGCGGGCGGGTGGGTGGGTGAAACGGGACAGGTGGCTTCCAGGTGACTCAAATGCTGCAGAGCCCCCCAATGCTGCAATCGGGACACAGCTTGCACCAATGCTTGGAAGGGGAGGGCTTGCTGGGCAAAATCTACCTTGCCTTGGCCAGGCCTGGGGGGGGAGGCACCCACTGGGGCAGCCTCCCCTACCGTTTTCCTTCCCTGAAACAGGCATCCCTGACCGACCATGCAGGCCGGACAGAGAGAGGAACACCCCGTTTGGGGAAGAGGAAGAGGAAGCAGTGCTGGAAGGGAACACCGACTTCAGCAAAATAAGAGAGCTGGGGCCGCTCCAAGTTTTGCAAAAGAGCCTTTTCTGCAATAAACCTTGGGAGTTCCTGATTCTTGCATGTCTGCTTAATTGTTTCCAATCCAGCCGGTGGGGGGGGGGGGGGGGGGGGGGGGTTTCTTCCAAAGGCCCCTTTTCAGATGGCCCCTTAACCACCACTGGACCTGTCGCCGCATACGTGTTCTGTGCGCTTTGAAAGGACCACTGAGCTCCCCTGTCAAAAGCAGCGCTGTCAGTCCTACGAGGGCACCACTGCTTCTGCCAGGAGGGACTGCGCAGCCGTGCGCTCCATGGGAGGGAGGCAGCGCCCCTTTTGCCTTCTGCACATGGCATTCTAGGAACTTCCACCCAGCCTGCTTGACGGTGGGGTGGAACTGCCCCTTTCCCTTTGGGGACAAGAGTCCCAGGAAGGCCAATAACTAAACCCGTCCCTGTCCAGGTGCTGGCTGGCCATTCAGTGGGGGGGGGGGGGGGGGGGGGGGGGGGCGGGGGGGGGGCTCCCCCCCTGGCGGGTCATCCCAAGGGGGGCCGGGGCCCTCTTAGTCAGGTGCCTCGCCTTCCTTCAGCGGTGGGAGGGAGGGGAGAAGGGAAGGGAATGCCCCATGTGCCGTCTCCAGAGGTGGTATATTCAGCCGGTTCTGACCGGTTCCGGAGAACCGGTAGGGGAAATTTTGAGTAGTTCAGAGAACCGGCCAATCCCACCTCTGACTGGCCCCGCCAACCCCATCTCTTTTCAGCCTCCCATTGAGTCCCAGCTGATCGGCTGGGTCTCCTTTGGTTGCCCTGCACAGGAGAACGGAGCTGGAAAGCAGGTTAGCGGGGTGGGGAGCAGAGGTGGTATTCAGGTTCTGGCCAGTTCTGGACAACCTGTCACAGAAATTTTGAGTAGTTCAGAGAACCGGCAAATCCCACCTCTGACTGGCCTTGCCAACCCTATCTCTTCTCTGCCTCCCGAGTCCCAGCTGATTGGTTGGGTCTCCTTTTGTTTCCCTGCAGAGGAGAACGGAGCTGAAAAGCAGGTTAGTGGGGTAGGGAGGGAATGGGGATTTTGCAGTATCCTTCCCCTGCCACGCCCACCAAGCCACGCCCACAGAACCGGTAGTAATTTTTTTTTGAATCCCACCACTGGCCCGTCTCCATTTGCTGCTGCGCTTAGAATGGTCCTGGAGTGCTGTGCATTGTCTCGTTAGGCAAATGGGAGCCGGTCTACCTGGGCCGAGCAATTTGCCGCGTGCTGCTCTTAAAATTGTGAACCGCTTTGTTAGGCAGACTGGAGCTCAGCTATCTGGGCGCTGGAAATTACACCCGTTTCTGCTGACTCACGACTTGAGGAAGGCACAGCCGTGCGGGGGGGGGGGGGGGGGGGGGGGGGCGGGGGGGGGGGGAAGAGCCCTTCGTGAGAGCCCAGGATGCAGATTCTTGAATAAAACTAGACCCACGTGACTGGCAGGCCTGCCTGTCTGTCTCCCAGCCCAGGGTTAAAAGAAAAGGGTGCCGGATCGGCCGTTCTTTGCAGCCCACTTTCCAGAGAAGGGAAGCTGTTATTCCACACTTGGAAACATCGGAGTCCCCTGGCTGAGAGGCTTCCCTTCCTTACTGCAAAGCCACTTCTGCTCCTAGGAGATCCCTTTCCCAAACAATACTGAATTTCTAATTTATGAAAACAGGGACGTTGCCAAAAAAACCTGCCAGTAGTTTCCCAGCCACTTTGCTGTGATTGCTCTGATGCTACTGGAGCAGCTTCTCCTGGCGACAGGTGGGGGGGTGGGGGGTATTGCCAGCCTCCTGTACAGACCACCTGGACACAAGTCTAGGCTCACTAGAGGTCTGCCGTGCATCTGTCTTAAGATACCTGTGAATGCTTCTTAGGTTGTGAGTTTGGGGATACAAAACAAGGGATTTCCCGAAAGACCATGGCCGGTCCTGCATGAAATCAATATTCTGATGACCAATCCCTCCCTCCCCCACCCCCCCAAGCCTGTGATGCACAACCCAGGGATCCAGTCTGCCATGGCCAAAGCCACACTGACCGTGGAGGGGCGGTGCCCCAGAACTGCACAGGAATGTGCTTGCACCAGATTGGTGCCAATAGAGGGGAGTGGGGAGGTCTATTCACAGCCCTTAAGCGTGCTAGCAGCTATCAAAACACAGCAGGCTGCCTGCAGGCCAGATCTCCGCCTGAAGTGAAGGAGAAACCCCCCCATATTAAGAGTGGAGGAGTCAAATCTGTCTCCGGGCAGAGCTAGGGAAGAAGAGCCATCCTTCTTAGGAAGCGAGCGTGGGACAGTCACGGTGACCGACCGTCACCCAATCGGGTACCTGAGGACTCTCAGTCTGCGCGGGGCCAGGCCAGGTGCCATCCAGAATGGACCGGCAGCGTTGTCCGCTCCTGCTGTTCCACCCTCGCAAGCGGCAGGAAGCTGGGCAGGGCTGAGAAATCTTTCCTGGACATCACACTTCAGCCATGCTGTAGAGGCAGGAGAGCAGAGCAAAGGGCCAAAGTGGCCTATCACCGAAGCAGGCGTGTGGTGTGGGTGTTGTTTCTTTGCCCAAGCTGATCCTGGGGGAGGGGGGGTGTATGTGGAGGGAGCGGGGCTCAAAGCACCTGTTCCGCTGTGGGAGATGGTCCCCATTGCCAGCAGAAGCTGCGGTGGGAGCAGGCAGGTAGCAGCTTAGTGAAACTGACGCAGCCGGTCCGGCCCCCTGTCCCACAGACAGTTCGAGGGATCGCCCTTGAATCCAAAAGGACTTTCCTGACGTTCTCCCCTAGATTGCCCGAGCCCCGTTTCAAACTACTGAAATTGGTGGCGTGAGCAAATTCCAGAGATGGGAAGAAGTCCTTCCTTTGATCTGTTTTCGCTCTCCGGGTTTTCAGCCTTGCATAGAATGACTCCACTCCGGAGAGTTGATGAATTATTTATAAATGACACACATAATCCAAAGAAAGAGAAACGAATTGAAAAAGAACACCTGCCGCTGGATAAAAGGAGACTTGTATTCTTTGTGTCTTTCCTGCTCTTGTGGTCATTGTGTTCTCCCCACTTTTTTTAAAAAAAAATGTAATAAACCTTATTTGGCTAGAAAAGTAAAATGAAAGAAAAAAAGAATACCCCTTCCCCGTCCCTCCCACCCACCCACCCAAGGGCAGGTATAACATGAATTTGAGATCTAGGAAAACTTTGATGAAGAGCTTGAATCCTCTGTTCATGTAAGGGAAAGTAAAGGAATATCCACAGCGGTGGGATGCTACTGGTTCAGCCCGGTTCGACTGAACTGGTAGCAAAAATTGCTACCCAAAAAAGCCTCCGACGATCAGCTGATAGGAGAAAGACACACAAGATCGGCCCTCCCACCGGTCCCTGCACTTTTCTTTATCCTCTCGGTTGATGGATGCTGCAGGCCTCAGCTGATGTGGGGAAAGCTGCGCACGTGCGTGTTAGGTCAAAAGGGCCCAGCAGAGATTATACTACCTGAGACTTCTCAGAAAACAACAACTGAATGAAAAACTGCTGGTGACCTTCTACCGCTGCACCATAGAGAGTATCTTAGCTTACTGCACCCGTGGATGGTTTGCCAATTGCACAGTGACAGATAGGACAGCACTCCAGAGGGTTAACGTCATTGCCCTGAGGATCATGGGTTGCCCTCTCCCCTCTTTGGAAGAGCTTTATATCTCTTTTAAGAAAGTTCAAAACATCCTCAAAGATCCATCTCATCCTGGGCACCCCTTTTTTTGAACTAATACCATCTGGCAGATGGTACAGGACAATAAAAACAAGGACAAATAGGCTGAAAAACAGTTTCTATCCCAGGGTAGTAGCTCTGTTGAATTCTACTGTGGATGGTATTTAACTTTATTCAATTCTACTGAAGATGGTATTTCATTTCGTTGTACGATGTGCAGTGACAACTAAACTAAACATTAGGTGTGTGCGCGCGCAATCACCAAACCAGTAGTTGGACAGGTAGGGTCCCATTGCTGAATATCCACATGTAAAGCATTCTCTGGGACATGGCCCTATTTATCCCTGAGCCTCTCCTTCCTGGGACAGCCTCTCGGGAGCATAGAACCCTCTGATGCCCTTACATATTCTTTTCCTAGCTTCTCCGTGGCAAACATTGCACTGACTCGGAAGTGTACAAGAATATCCAGAGAGCCAGGAACAAGGACACGTAACACTCAAGTCTCTGGCCAGCAAGAAAACACAGTATGTGTATAATCCTGGACAGTACACACAATTTCTTGCTGGTCTCTTTTATGCTTTACTACTTTTGTTTATTGTAATTTGCTTCTCAAGAAAATGGCACCAAGGTGTCACGGATGCCTGTCTGGCACCTGAGAGCAAGATTACCTGCATTGTTGCTGGGTGCCCCAGAGCGGCCCGTGGTCCTGGCAGGCAGGAGGAGATGAAGATGCTCTTGGTCTGGAGCGTGGTCATGCAACCAGGCTTTGAAAAAGTCCTCCAAGGCTACCACATCGTTCTCCACGGTGTGTAAATCAACCTCTGTGTTCAAGATTGTTGTGCTCTCTGAAAGAGAAGATGAGATTAAATGGGACGTCATTTAAAAAGGGCACAACGAGGAATGCTCTCCCTGCGCCAACTCAAAAAGCTCAGGTTGCCCAAGGATTTGCTGATATAGTTCCTGCGGTGGAATTATTGAGTCTGTCATTTGTACCTCAGTGACTGTCTGGTTTGGCGCAGCAGCCAAACAGGACAGACAAGAGATTTCAACGGATAGTTAGGACTGCAGGAAAAAAAACGATTGCAATCATCCGGCTTCCATTGAGGACCTGTATATTGCACGGGTCTGAAAGAGGACTGAGAAAATATCTATAGACCTCTCACATCCGGGACATAAACTGTTTCAACTCCTCCCCTCAGGGTGGTGCTGTAGGGGCATTGCCTGCCAAAACAACTAGACAAAAAGGCAATTTTTTTCTCTTGTGCCATCACTCTGCTAAACGCTTAATTCCCACAGCAGCACTGTCTTATGCCTACGGGTGTTTACCCATATAGTAGGGCTGTACTGCTATTGTCCTTCTCACCTTCTGTATTACCTTCTCCTATTGGTATCTTATGATTATATTTACCTTGTTTTTTGTACGTAAACTTGTTTATATGTACATGTTGGTTGCATGTTTGTATGTATACTGATTTTATTATTTATTTATTGTTTGTGTGTATGCTGAGAGCTTATGTACCAGAGAAATTCCTTGTGTGTTCAATCACACTTGGCCAATACATTATTCTATTTTTCTATTTCTGTTTATTTTCTATTTTCTTCTATTTTCAATTAGTTTACATTCTCTATTCTCTTCTGTTATTTTACTCTATTGTATGCTATTGTATTGTAATGTATTGTACTCTGTCATATCGTGTCTTGTATCCTATCCTCTTGTATCCTATCCTATCCTATTGTCAGGTCCCCTGCTGGGACGCTGCCATTCCTATAGAGGAATGTGGAGGAGGCTATTGTGGTTGCGTTCTCTGCATACTTTTGCTGTAACCCCGTGGGATTTAGGAAGGGAGGCCATCTTGAAGACAGATGGATTTTCTCCCACCAGGTTCCAGCCTGGTACCAAGGTTGTCATGTCCTGGGGATGAACTGCTTATCAAGCTAACGCCTCAGAGTTCTCAAAACACCTATGCAGAATTGGATTGGCTACCGGTGGACTAGTGAACAGGGGTGGGGGTTTGAATTGGAAAGAATAGCTTAACACTTTGCGTGGGGACTTCGGATTCCACCTGACTTCTCCACAGTCACTTTCTCCCAGTAAAAGTTCCTTTTGATAACTAATCGTTTCAAGAGCTGTGCTTTCCCAAGGGGTGAGGCAGTTCCTTACATTAGGCAGAATCTGAAGTTCCTGTGCAAAACATTAAGCTATTCTTCCCAATTCCCCATCCTATCCTATCATTCCCTTTCTGCTTTCCAAAAGCAGAGAAAATTTGGATACAGAGAATATGCACCACAGAAATGCCTGAGATAGGCAAACACTATTTTGGGGTCCATTAACAGAACCAAGGATCTAGATCAAGTCTTAGGACAGCACTGAGCAAATGGTAATTACAGCTGATCCTTGAGGTTACAGCCGTCGCAGTGACCTTGTGGCCACGTGATCAAAACGTGGATACCTGGGCAGCCTGCTTGCATTTACAGCCCTTCTCAGCAGCTGCAGGAGGAAAAAAAAGAGGGCAAATATCAGCCAGGGTGGCTGCATGATGGGCGGCAGCTCAGGGGAGGTCGGCCCCTTTATCAAGGATATTAGAGTTGGTGAGCCATGAAGATAGATTCAAGTCTAGTGAGATGCAAAGGGTCCTTTGGATTCACAGGTAAAACAAAATAACAGCGTTGGAAAGGATCTTGGAGGTCTTCTAGTCCAACCCCCAGCTCAGGCGGGAAGCCCTATACCAGTGGTGGCTAACCTTTTTGAGCTCCTGTGCCAAAAATTGTGCATGCGCTTGCACGCTTGCACTTGCATGCCAAGACCCAGAAGGCAATGCGGGCCGCCCCCACACCCCCTACGCATGCACGCGTAATCCACCCCCACCCCCCATCCCCTTAGCTGCACTGGACCTCACAGCTGATTTTTGGCCGGTTTGAGGCCTTTTTCGGCTTCCCAAAGGCTTGAGGAAGGCTTCTGCAGGCTTCTGCAGGCCGAAAACTAGCCCCGTTCGTCACTTCTGGTATTTTCAGAAAAACAGGAAGTGACTAAACGGGGCTAGTTTCCGGCCTGCAGAAGCCTGCAGAAGCCTTCCTCAAGTCTTTGGGAGGCCGAAAAAGGCCTCAAACCGGCCAAAAATCAGCTGTGAGGCACGCACACGATCAGTGAGGTAAGTCTGCCTGCAGTTCGTGTGCCAGCACGGGTGCCATAGGTTCGCCATCACAGCCCTATACATTTCAGACAAGTGGCTGTCCAATCTCTCCTTGAAAACTTCCAGTGTTGGAGAATTCACAATTTCTGGAGGCAAGTTGTTCTACTGATTGATTGCTGAGATGTGGGCAACCTGCATTTGCTCCCTTTCCACACAGCAGCTGTTCATCGAAAGTCTAATTTCGAGGGATGATTTTGAGTGTGCTGAAGTCTCTCCACCACCACAAGAGTGCTTGAAGAGAGCCACAGCACACACACTGGTGCCAAAGATTCTGATTATTCATGCAGATTCATGGGATCCGAGCCAGCAGGGACTAATGAGATCTTGGAGTAATGGCATTGACACAGCACGAAGCTGGAACAAAAGATTTCAGTAGGTGGCAACAATCCACTGCTATCCAGTTGATGGCAACAATCTGCATTTTGGTCCATTTTTACATTTAAAAATGAAAAAATGAAAAAGAAAATCCTCTGAATCAATTCCAAAATTAACAGTTTGAGCAGGTACCTCTATCAGATCGGCTGAAATTCACTAACAATTGTGGCATGCACGCTTCAGGCTCTGCATCAACAGGTTGTTACAAAATGAAAGAAACGGTGGACGAATGAAAAAAGAGCCGGCTTGGAACCGTAAGGAGCTTTTCTCACTTGCTCTGGCAACGGGAAGAGACAATTTAATGCCAGCCTGCTTTTTGTTCTGAGATTTCAAGCACGGATGAAGAACAGCTGACATTGTCATGGGCTCCAGGGCTCACCTTCCATTCCTGGAGGAGTTTTGTAGACTGACTGCACTCATCAGAGTTAGGTGTAGCTGGTGTCAGGTTTTCCAATTTCTAGGCATAAACGTCAGGCTGCTGTACTCACCCCCACTGCCGCTGGATACTTCTCCGTCCCACTGTGCCCCAGGAAGTTCCTGATCTCCCCGCTGAGAAACCTCAACCACCTGTAGTTGGTGGAGGCTAACCAGGTCAATGCCCTGCAATCCAGCATCCAGCTGGTTGGCTATTTTCCTGCTGGGCTGGCTAGTCAGGATTGTAATCTGGAAGAAAAGTCAAAGTGTAGCAGTTTAGAAGAGGGTTCTCTGTGCTAATCCACAGCACACTCACGCTCCTCGTGCTAACTGCTCAAAGCAGAGCCAGGCATGATGGCCGCTCACCAGTCTTTGCCATGCCCAGGTGGGCAGCTACAATGCCCATCAGATGCATTAGAGCAGAGGTCTCCAAACTTGGCCACTTTAAGACTCGTGGACTTCAAGCAAAGCTGGCTGAGGAATTCTGGGAGTTGAAGTCCACAAGTCTTAAAGTGGCCAAGTTTGGGGACCCCTGCATTAGAGAAAGAGACAGGTCGTCCAAGGGAGATTAGCTCAAACCCCTGTTTAGTTAGAAATCTCACAAAATCTCCTTGGTCCAGGGTTGTTTGGGTTTTGGTGGCCTTGAAATAACCATGATTCAGGTTATTGATCATGTTGTTGATCACCGTGGAGGAAATTTTCAGTTCTAAGCACTCCTGGAACAGGAGGCCTTGCTTAATCACTCAGCCTTTGGTGCAGTGAATGGTCGCAATGCACTTTGTGTGGGTGGGGCTGACCTTGAAGAGCACCCAGAAACTCTTTTCATCCAAATACAGCCACCTAAGTAGGGATAGCCACTTCTTGCTGGGCCCACCACCCAGAGGTGGTATTCAGCAGGTTCTGACCAGTTCTGGAGAACCGGTAGCGGAAATTTTGAGTAGTTCGGAGAACCGGCCAATGCCACCTCTGACTGGCCCCGCCCCCCTCTATTCTCCGCCTCCCGAGTCCCAGCTGATTGGCTGGATCTTCTTTAGTTTCCCTGCACAGGAGAATGGAGCTGGAAAGCAGGTTAGTGGGGTGGGGAGGGAAGGGGGATTTTGCAGTATATCCTTCCCGTCACGCCCACCATGGACATCTGCCGGAAGGCTTCGTCCACTCATGTCTGTCTGCCCCATCAGATCAAGAGGGGCAGGCCCTCTATGTCCCCTCGCTCAAGCAGCGCTACATGTCTTCTCTATCACTGCCCCCTTCCCGTGAAACCGCTTATTGGGCAAGAGCCGGCTGTTAGGAGTTTGCATGCCCCTGTTTTTTCCTTGAGAGGCTGATAGTAGTAAAGAAGGGTGTAACATACTACATCTTTCTGCACATCATTATTGTAACTTAAAGACAAGGTATTGTATGCTGCTCGGGTTGGTTCTGACTAGAGCAGCTTAAAAGCCTTGTAAATGTAACGATAAATCTCCTCCAAAAGGTGGAGGTGGCCACGACCCATCGTCATTTTCTTCTAGAAAAATTCATTGTAGAAATATGCAGAAACATTTCTGAGCATCCATTGGGTAGAACTGCGCAACCAACTCCAAAAACTCCCAGCAAACTTTTATCCAAAAGATATATTGGTTGCTATTGCCCAAATACCTGATTTACCCAACAGGTCACTGTTATCAAAGAAGAATAACGGGGTTTGCTCATGACACCCCTATAGGGAGATCCTGGCGGTGGCAGAATTCTTGGGCTATTCTGCCTTGTTCCTGCTTCAGATGTGCTGGACCTCTGCCCTTTTGGTCGTGTCCACTTCTTACCTCCACAGAAGAGCTGTTCAGACAGGCTCCGGTCATGCCTTGACCGGTGTATTGTTTGAACTGCTGCAATCCATCCAGCACCGCCTGAACCACAGCCTCTTCTTTGGGCTGGACCACCCCTTCTTTCGGCAAGGCACCAAGCTCTGCAAAGCAGCTCTGGAGCCGAGGAAAGCCTCCTTTAAGAGCCTGTGGGGGAAATGGGAAAGAAGCACAGATTACTTTCCTGTTTCCAGGTATCCCGGCAAAGAGGGCGTTCTCCACCACTACTTGCACGACACCACCTTGGCTGGATCTGAGAAATGTTGTTCAAATGTGACCTCCTGATACAGTTTACATGAAACTACTGAGCGATGAGCATAAAATGTAGCAGCAAGAAGTCACCCATGTATTTGGGGCTAAATATGCTTGTCTGAAAACTATATTTTATAATCAGAAAAAGTTAAAAGGGTGTGGGAAGAAAAAATAGGCTATTGATCTATCAGATTCAATAAGGCCTTTGGATGATAGCAGACCCCAGAATAAAAGAGACATGAACCATAGTTTTAAACAGGACGATTTCAAAAAGTACCGGAGCTATTTGTAATCCTACTGAGCTGTTTTGTGGAATGTGATTTTGCAAAGTACGTAGTTTTGAAAACCATGAGAAATAGGGAACAGAAAGTAGCCGATGCATAGAGGTTTGAGATGTACATGGGTATATGTGGAGACTGTCCGTCAGTAAGAAAGAACAGAGAAGTAAGTTGTGAAATGCATGCAGAAAAGTATAAAAAGAATGTCTTGGGATGTGTTCAGGGCCACTGCCATGGCTACTCCTTGCCGGATTCAGCCATGTCAGTGGACCTCACTGCAATGGGTTGTTTGTAAGTATTATCTTACTGAAATGCTGTTATGTTATGATGGCTGTTCATGTTCCAAATTGCGCATGAAATAAACCTCTGATCTCAAAGTAGGATTTATTGCCTGTAGTTGATCTGTGTTCCTCTTTTATTGAGTTATTTTTACGACAAGGGGCTATGTCAACTTGTAAAGCATGCCTGTTTCCAAGTTGCCATAAAAGGGCGGGGGGAACCAGAAGTACATTCCATGCTTATCTTACAAAGATTGTAGCTAGGCTACCGGATCTTCTGCCCCCGAAAATCCTTTATTGGACAGTGTGATTGATGATACCCAACCCCGTGCTTCATTGAAGAGTCTGATGTATGACATACCCAGGGTGGAGGGGGGAAACAGGGTCACAGATGACCGTGAATTACGTGAGTCAGAGTTGGCTTCAACTGAGATAATGCCGACATGTGGCTCCTAATAAATCTTTTTGAATCTTTTGAAGGTTGGCTCGAGGCTCATGATTTAATTAGGGCAATCGCAGGAACCCTGACAAGCTAGATGTCATAAAGCACCAGAGAAAATGCGACACAATAGGGTGATAAAACCATTGCAACATTCCACTAGTGGAACATTGGACTTTTCATCTTATTAAAGACAAAATAAGAAAGGCGGCACTTAAGGATTTACACATCTAATGAACAATGAACTTGTTTCCTTCTTTGTCCAAAGGAGGACGCGAGTAAACAGGGGGAATGCTACGGATACGATAACCCTGATTTTAGCAAAGCTGAATCCCAGCGCCGGGTATGAGGTTCCTGCTGAGATCCAGATGACTCTTACTTTGCCATTGTTTAGAGCAGCCCTGGTGATTTGGCTCTTCTCCGCACCTTTGGTGAATGAGGGGGAGTGAGAGACCATTTGCTTCATTCCATCTAGTCTGGGTGATTTGCACTCTTATCACTCTTTATTGTAACTTATCTGTCTTACTGTTGTGAGTCATCCAGAGCTGTTGGGAATCCGGAATACCTAAGTTTAAATAATAATAATAATAATAACTCCAATACATCCTGGAGCAGCATTTGAATACCATTGGGACAGACTAAATCACGACCAGTCAATTGCAAAAGTCAGTTTTACTCGGAACAGATGTCAAAAGAGACAATACAAAAGGTAAGAAAGAAACAAAAAGGCAAGATAAATATCCTCACCAACAGCCAACTCTCAAATAAAAAGTGATTAATACCACACAAACAATCAAGGAGAAAAGAAACACCCTCATCAAGGAGCTACCAAGGAGGAAACCACACGGCCATCCACACTGGCAGTGCAAGGTACTGTACATATACAGCAAATCGCACACTCTGTTTGCACTGATAGGGTTACTTGGATAATGAAATGTCTTGTTAAGAAACAAGGTCAGAAAACACAGAGGAGTTCAAAAGTGAAAGTTACAGAATGTATTAACAAAGAATGAAAAAGGACGTAATTAAAAATAACCTTTAGCCGGAGGAGAACCATGACAGTCTACGGTGATCAAAAATTAGATAGAATCTGCTAGCAGCATTTCTGCCTAACACATTTTGTTAAAAGGTGTCAGTTTTTGTGACTTGCAGCTTCCTTCATCAAATATATTGTGTGGCTTTGTTAAAGTGGGTAGTGTGATGGAGACTTGCATCTCCATTACCAGACTGTCTTCTCCCTTCTCTGTCTCCCCACATTAAACGATTCCTGATCTTTAGCTGGACAGAATATAACTTAGTGGGCATATTTAATAAACCAGAACTGGAAGCCCAATCTTAACCACAAATGAAGATTGGAGCGGGCAAAGAATGGCATCACACCCAAACAGGGCAAGATGGACTTAGGGTATGTATGAGCTTTACCACAACAATAGGTAGCCACCAATTGCAAGACCCGAGTATCTTAAGCCTTTTGGCTGCCAACCACCATGGGTATAGAAACACTAAACTCTATAAATGTCACCCATAAAAGCTCCCAAGCAAGAGAAGCCAGATTCCCAAAGGTTATATAAGAGCAGAATAGCTAGCACAAAGGGAAAAATAGAACAGCGACCATCGGTTATTTTACTCTGCTGTAGATGGGCTTATGTGTGTAATGGAGCACTCACCACGAAGGGCAGCAGGCATTCCTGCTGGTTCTGGACCACATAGAGGCTGAATGAAGGGATGCGGGGTGAGCCTGTCAAGCCGCAGGCTAAGCAGAAGACATTTTCCAAGGCTTCACAGAGTTTGCGGCAGGTGTTGTCCCAATGGGGAGGATGGATGTCTACCACCAGGATCCGCGGAGATTGCCTGGAACGAGCAGTGGTGGCGGCAGGACATTTCTCAACCATACTGGGTCTTTGCCTTCTGGGACTCATGGTTTTCTGAACGCCTTTGAGATGGCGGCTGCCTGGAAAGTAGAAGTCAAGAGCTGACTCTTTTCACAGTACATTGTCACTCGTGAAGATAAGATATATAGAGGATGTCAGAGAGAGAAATGTTGGAGGGGGTGGAAGAAAAGCATGAGGGTGTAAAGACCAGCAGCTCCATATCTGATGCAGAGCAGCACCCCGCCTGTCGTGAGAGAGGAAACCGTGAGGTCTGAAGGTGGGCATTATGTACAGCAATTCCTACTTTCAGGTTTGTTCTATTCAGCCTATCCAAACCTGTTTATAGGGCCACTTCCAGGATTCTTGGCTTGAATAGTTAAGGGGAATTCTTCTTGGGAATTTTGGCTGCTACAGTCTCAACATATCTAGGGGTCTTTCCATACAAACCTACAATTCTAAAACAATTCTTATATATGCACCAGCTAGGTTCAAACATAACATTAAGCCACGGTTTGATAACAATTTGAATTACCTTTGAATTATATTAAGCCATTATATACAGTATATTAAGCCAATGATATATAACATTTTGAATTATATTAAACCAACCCCAAATCTAAGAGTGATTGTGAACTGAAAACACGTGGGTAATTAATTCCAAACCACCAAGAGGACAACCCGATTGTATTTTTTTTCAAGACCAGGACAGCCCCATGAGGAGGATTGTCTAGGGAGCCTTTGAGAGAAGATCTTGTGCCACATCAGAGCCTACTGAAGAGTATCTGTAGCTCAGGGCTGAGCTGTGGGAGGCTTGATACTACTTTCAGAGCTTAGCCCATATGACTCTAACACAGGGGCCTCCAAACTTAGCAACTTTTAAGATTTGTGGAGTTGAACTCCCAGGATGCCTCAGCTAGTCACGCTGGCTGGGCAATTCTGGGAGTTGAAGTCCAGAAGTCTTAAAAGTTGCCAAGTTTGGAGACTCCCGCTCTAACATGTAAAAATAGGAACAAACCCCGCTCCCTTGTAGCCCTGATGATGTGATCTAGTTTGGCGGCGAAATGTCTGCCAAAAAAAAACCCACCAAAGGCAGGGAACACCAAGGACACCCCCCCACCACCACATCAGGCCCTTCTCATCCCCTCAGTCAGAGCTAGGGGTGCATTTGGAGGCCACTCATGGATTTGCCTTCCAAAGATTTAGACTGAGAAGCCCTTACGTAGAGGAGGTGGTCTGTGTGGCAGGGGAGGAAGAGACGCTCCTTCAGGCCAAGTCTTTCCCTCCAGGGCCCAGGCGCTGGGCCTCGGTGGGGCAAAGGAGAGGAGGGAAGCCACGGCAGAGCGCCGCCCCCTCGTTCCCTCAGCTCAGTCAATCCAGAGGGAAAAGCCTGGGAGGAAGGCCCGGGCCTCAGCCTTCTTTCGCTGGGATGAAGGGCGGTCGAGAAACGGGCATCTTTGGGAGTTGTCAGAGCTGTTGCCACGGCCCCCGCTTTCTCGGGATCGTCCTAAATCAGGGATCCCCAAACTTGGCAACTTTTAAGACTTGTGGACTTCAACTCCCAGAATTCCCTCAGCCAGCATAGCGTGGCCACAGAAGAGGCTGGCTGGCTGAGGAATTCTGGGAGTTGAAGTCCACAAGTTGCCAAGTTTGGGGACCCCCTGGCTTATTAACTAAAGTCAGCTAAAGTGGCCTCCGGAGAAAGGCCCAGCGAGAGAGGCCGGGCCCTCCGCTCCGCCGCCCTTTGTGGGAGCCGAGCCGGGACTCGTGGGTGGGGGCGGGCAGGCCTTCTTTCCACCCCCGAGGAGAGCGGCTGACCAAGCGGAGCCGGGCGGGAGGGCGGCGACCCACCCCTCTCTTTCTCCTCCTCCGGGGCTGGTCGGAGGAGGGACGAACTTCCCCCGGGCGGCGCGAGGAAGGCCAGGCCCACCTCAAGGACGGCCGCAATTTTAGCGGGCGAGGAAGCCCCTGCGGCTCCCCCCCCACTCCCCCCCCCATAGCTCCTTTGCGCCCCTCCGCCGAGCCTTCTCCCGTTTGGGGGGGGGCAATTGCCAGGGCGCGGGGGGAGGGGAGACAAGGATACAGCTGCGAGCGGCTGCCAGAAAGGGGGTCCCCCGCGCCCGGAGATGACAGGCTCGGACGGGACCCCCGAAGGTTTCCCTTTAGCTTACAAGAGGGGTTCCTGCGGAGGGAGGGAAAGGGCAGAGATCCCCGTAAGGAAGATAATAAACAGCAGAAGGTTGGATTGAAGGAGGGGAGGGTGAGCCCTACATCCCAGGGAGCCCCGATTTTCAAGTGGGGGGGTGGGGGGCAAACGCAAAGCCCCGCGTGGATGCTGGGCAGCAGTTCACCCAGGAAGGTGGTGGTGCCTTCCTGCATCACCAGATACCAGATAATCAGAGTTGGAAGGGACCTTGTAGGTCATCTAGTCCAACCCCCTGCCCAAGCAGGAGTCCCTACACCGTTCCTGACAGATGGCAGCAGTCCAATCTCTTCTTGAAAAGTCTCCAGTGATGAAGCTCCCACAACTTCCGAGGGCAACTTCTGTTCCTTTGGTTGATTCTTCTCACTGTCAGAAAGTTACCCTTGTGATGACAGTGGCAAAAGCCTGGCCAGTTCTGGCCTGCAACAAGGGCCACAAAGTACGTGACCAAAGCATGTCAGGAGAAGTTCCCATTCAGTCCCGGAAGGGAAAATGTACCAAGAACTACTGGGGGGGTTCGAGCCCCTGTGGGGATGGAGGTGGGGCAGGCGGGGCAGCAGGGCTGCCCTGCAGAGGAGAAGGCAGGCTGGTTCAGAGCCCTTCCAGAAGCCCCGGGGGACAAGGCAGGGGTGGACTCCCGTTCATCTTCAGCCAGCTGTGACCCCCTGCCTTGGGGTGGGGTGGTGGTGGACCCTTCTCTGCATGAGGCTAGGTAGCCAAAGGTTATAATGCAGGGTTCTTTGGGTGGGGTGGGGTGGGGGGCTTTTGCCAACCACAGTGAAGTCTGGCTTTTACCTTTGAGTTGTGGTCTCTCACTAACTGGTTCATCAACAGCAGTTTATTTTAGTTTATTTTATTGTCATTGCACCTCGTACAACGAAATTAAACACCATCTTCAGTGTACATTATGACTATGAAAACAAACACACATCCTTCACATTATGTACATTGAATTGAAAACCCCTGATATTGCATTAATGCTGCACTGTACAGTACTGCCCTGGGATAGAAGCTGTTTTTCAGCCTATTTGTCCTTGTTTTTATTATCCTGTACTGTCTGCCAGATGGTAACAGTTCAAAAAAAGGATGCCCAGGATGAGATGGATCTTTGAGGATGTTTCAAACTTTCTTAAGGCAGCGGGAGCTATAAAGCTCTTCCAAAGGTAATATTGTGTAGTAAAAGAATGTGCAGATCAGTTAGCCGGGGTGTGGACTGAGATTTTCAATCGTTCTTTGCTACAGTCTCTTGTTCCAACTTGTCTGAAGGCTTTTATTATTGTTCCAGTATCTAAGAAGTCACCTGCAAATGCTTTAAATGACTTCAGGCCGGTAGCATTGACTTCTGTGATAATGAAGTGCTTCGAGCAGTTAGTTCGGAAATATATTATTTCTTGCCTTCCTGTTACCTTTGACAATTATCATTTTGCCTATAGAACAAACAGATCTACTGAGGATGCTGTCAATATTGTTCTTCATACTGCTCTATCTCACTTGGAGAAAAAAGGAACGTATGTCAGAATATTATTTGTTGATTTTAGTTCTGCTTTCAACACAATATTACCCCACAGATTGATGTCTAAGCTTAAAGATCTGAAGCTACCGGACTCCATATGTTGGTGGATTCTAAACTTTTTATCACATCGTTCACAAAGGGTTAGGATGAATGGACATATCTCTTCTGCGAAGATCCTCAATACTGGCACTCCTCAGGGCTGTGTATTGAGTCCACTTTTATTCACTATTTATACGTCTGATTGCACCTCCATTCATCTGAGTAATAAGTTCATTAAGTTTGCAGATGATACAACGTTGGTGGGACTCATTTCTGATAATGATGAGTCTGCGTACAGGGATGAAGTTCATCAGCTGTCCCTCTGGTGCAAAGTAAACAATCTTATTTTTAATATAAATAAGACGAAGGAATTCATAGTGGATTACAGGAAGAGCAGTTCGGACATTCAGCCGTTGTACATCGATGGTGTTTTGGTAGAACAGGTGGCAGAATGTAAGTTTTTAGGTATCACCCTGAAACAGGATCTAACATGGGGGACAAATACTTTAGCCCTAGAAAAAAAGGCTCATCAACGACTGTATTTTTTAAGACTTTTAAGATCACAACAACTGCCAGAAAGTCTGTTGCTTGCCTTTTATCGAAGCTCTATAGAGAGCATTTTATCTTATTGCCTCTGTGTGTGGTTTAGGAGTTGTACAGAGGCGGAGAAAAGGGCACTCCAAAGAGTGATAAAAAGGGCACAAAAGATCAGCGGATGTCCTCTTCCCTCATTGGAGGATTTGTACAACATGGGATGTAGAAGGAAGATACAAAAGATCTTGAGAGACCCTTCGCATCCAGGCCACCCGATGTTTGAGATCCTACCATCAGGAAGACGATATAGAGTGCTGAAAGCCAAGACAAGTAGATTTCAACATAGCTTTTACCCAAGTGCTGTGATCAGGTTAAATGCAGAGTTATGAATCTGGTGGTCTTAACACATATATCCTGGTTGTACAGTTTTTAAATTGTTATTTGTTTTAATTTGTTTTATATTGTTATTTGTATACATCTTTTGGTGTTGTTTAGTTGTATGTTGCGAAAGAGCACCTTATTTCGTTGTTCTCAGGTTCCTGAGCACAATGACAATAAATTTATCTTATCTTATCTTATCTTATCTTATCTTATCTTATCTTATCTTATCTTATCTTATCAAAGAGGGGAGAGGGCAACCCATGATCTTCTGGGCCATGACATTAAACCCTCTGGAGTGCTGTCCTATCTGCCCCTGTGCAATTGGCAAACCATACAGAGGTGCAGTAAGTTAAG